AAACCCATGATGTCGTTTGAGTGATTTCTCGTACGCCCTATTGATGACACCGACCAGATTTTCCGTTTTACTTTTGTCCGCTGTAGATCTGTACTCTTGCACCATCAATGTGAGCATTTCCAGCATAAACTCAAGCCCTCTGGAAGAATTCCACCTTCATGAGAGAAAAGAAGTAGAAGACATTTCTGAACAACCTTTTCAACCACAAAAGACCTTCTGTGGCTATTCCCAAATTTCCACCGTGATCCTTCAGATCGTTATCAATCAAATCTTGTAAGTAGCGCTGACCTGAACAGCTTACTTTTTACGTTAGTGGATCTGATCAAAGATGTACGCGTGAAACTACCTATTCGATCCTTTTCAAATCGGGTACGAACTTTGACAACATTGCCATTAATATCGGCCTTCACTGGTGAGAAAGCAGCTCCCAAAAAACCTGAATAATAATGATATACTCAAGCACACATTCGGCAGCAGCAAGGCTAGGATAATGGAGTCAAATATCAAACAGAAGGTAACAAAAGAGGAAGGAAAAAGCGTCAGAAAAGAAAAAGGTTAAATCCGAGGGAAACACCCTTGGTGAAGTTCTATCCGCACCCGGTTTCAAACAGTGCCCAATTTCCCGTCTGCGAGCATCGAAGAAATACTGTGCGCGTAGACGAGAAATCGTACGAGGCATAAGAGAGCATAAAGGAAAATGCATGCCATTGAAACAGTGGGCGCGTCTCGGCAGTATACAACCCTTGGAGCAGTGTTTCCTCAACATGCAAGGTAGGATAATAGGAAAGGTGACTGGTCCAATCACATACCAGTGGAGGAGCCTTCAGAAGAACATGGGGTAAGATGGTTTGTTTCCTCAACATCGTAAATACGGTATTTAAAGAGTGAGGAGGGTGTAAGGAAATCATGTGGTTGCAATAAAATGAACAGGATCATAAAAGAGGATGTCAGAGTTGTCGTACGTGCGATTCCTGTCCAAATGAAAACTGGAGGCAACGAGAGCGTTGGTACCTGAGAAGCATTGGACTTTGAAGCTTAGGAAAAGCGACAACGGAGAACGCCATATGATGAATGGGGAAACGCATTAAAGACTTCGCTGGACCACTGCAGAAGCCTCGGATCAAGAGGAAAGGTAATGTCTTAACGGACGAAAAGAAAGGAGCAAATATCAGCGCTGACCGATCCACTGCTTTATGCGCCACGCATTTTACTTCATTTCAGGAACGTGGTGACTTTTTACTGCGATTTGCCCGTTGCATAAACATGCGCAGATTAACCGATGAACAAAGTGATTTTCCTCCCCAGCTCATGCGGTACCAGTCTACCCTTGGAGAGAAGGAAAACTTGGTTGAAAGGAACCCGATCAGGTATTTGCATCGTGCATACATACGGGAAACGGCGGAACTTGCGGCTACATCACCTCCACACATGAACAAGTACGAGTGCAACTCACGGATACAGAACAGAAAGTAGTATAAAAATATAAAGATAAAAACATAAGGCTAAGAAGGAAATTCGAAACAAGTTACTGTAACAAGGAGTAACAAGGACTTACCAACAAAGTCTGCGATTCCTTGACAAGCGCTTAAGAATGGTTCAGTAGGAATTCTGCCCTCGTCGAGATGTGGGAAAAGATGCTCTGGTTTGGAAAAATAGGTTTCCTGCTCTACCGGACTACGGTCACTCATGAGATCTGCAATTTGGAAAGGAATAATTCAAAACCGACAAATCAGTAAAACTATCACGACGGCTGAAGGGAGTTAAATCAGAAATTTCCTCGAAATACTCCATGATGTCTACTATTAGCATGTCTTTGTGCGCCTTCCTTGTGATTAGACACGCCCTTCTTATTGCACTGTCTTTCATATGAGTACACAACATTTAAATTAAAATTAAAAACACCATTTTTCCAATGTTCCCAAAATGTGAGCACCGCTTTGAAAATTAGAACCATTAGGATAGTTAAGGAGCAGACCTCTTTAGTATTCACTCATAACCTCAAAGAATCGACCTTCAAAAGATGTTCTGTTCGAGGCTAGTAGGTGGACAGTTTATTCACTACTTTCGGCCTAACATTTCTAATGTAATTCTCTTCAGAGGCCTAATAAGCCTGCCTACTGCAGAGGCTAGCAAACAACAATGCCGAGGTTACAATAAGATAGCAGTTGGAGAATTCTATGAGAATAAGTAGAGCAATTGTTCATCATAATGAATGACTGTAGTAGAAGTACATGGATAAGAATCAAAGAATAAATTCCTACACCAGAATCTGAATTTGTCTAAATATCGTGAAATGCTCGCAGGGGTATCCATTCGGATTGCGATCT